AGCAACTGCGTGTCGGTAAACAACAAGAACGTAATTGCTCATGCCTTTGTTTAGGACAGCTTTTGAGAGAATGTCCATTCCTGCTAGCCCTACTTGCAACAATACTACTGAAATGAATGGTCTTGCCTTCTCCATGCAATCCCTCTTCTTTACTGCCTCCATCTTAGTAACTTGAGATCAACAATCTCCCTCTTTATTCTTTCTTTTGAATGTTTAAAAGTAGTAGCAATAGAAAAACAGGGAGGTTTAATGTTTTCAATTGAATGATGTGTTACGTTGTCTTGGTTATCTCTCTTTATATAGGGCCATAGATAAAGGATGTGATGTGACGTGATCATTCTTCTCTCTACGGAAATTTATACGTGTATGTTAGTGTAAATATTACTGATAGAAATATTACTTATTATTTTTTGGTTGTTAAACATTTAGAGGCAAGTTGTCATACCTTACCCTGAATTCATGGGCCCTATTTCTCTATCTTATCAACTAAAATCAAAAAGGATGCACCAAATATATAGAAATTTGAGAATATGCAAAGACTAACTAAATAAACAAAATAGTTTTCATATATTCATGGTCGCCTAACTCCAGGAGAGCTGATGACTGTTGATGCATCGAGTTCTTCCAAATGTAAATTACTATAAAGTATTTCTCAAAAAAAAAAAAAACTATAAAGTATAAACTATGTAATGATTAGTGAGTCATGATATACCGACACTGTTGAGTAGAGTGACTATTGGTTAGATTTTTTCTTTTTCTTTTTATTAAGTCATTTGTAATTTCTTTACTTCATGGAGTTGATGTAAGTGCGTATAATTGCCAATATTTTGGGTCATTTGCACTGTTCCCATTTGCCACTTAGTTTCTGGTGGAATCACTTTCATTATTTTCTTTGCATATAATTTTGTTTTCTAGATGAGATGGACCGGTTCTCTATCAACAGAATGTTTTTGATTCATTATTCTGAAGGATATATACACTTTTTTTTGCTAGCAATATATACACATTTCTACAATAGAGTATTACAATATCATTCTCTCGTAATTATTGGCTGGCTGCAAGCCTCCAAACAGACAATAAACAGCAAATATAAAATATTAGTTAACCAAAAAATTAGACAATATGCAAAAACAAAAGGTAAAGATGAGTTTTAAATATAGATGGTTCGAATATTTTTCTGTGAACTTGAGATATGAAAAACGAAGAGCGAGTGACTACTTAGGAAAGATGAACAAATGTTGGAAGAGAACAGAGACATCCATCAATGGAAATTAAGCTTTTGTGGGATTATCTAATACGAGTTAAACTAGATATGCCATGTTGGTATGATAGTTATACTGGATACACACAGTTATTATATGCCAAGTTGGTTTGTGCTTACTTCATTGGGCGAGGCATGCCCCTCAGATTCGTGGCTGATGGATGGGTCGAGTATTAGGTTCGTACCGCTGCTATAAATGAGTTGCAAGTTCGCACATAACGCAGTTCAAAAGACCCAAAATATAAGTGTGAGCTTTCATAAGTATTTGCCACATTTAATGTAAGTGCTTCCAGGATTAATCATAATGTGAGCTACTGAGCTGTGTAAGTGGGGAAAATACTTCGGAAGGAAGTATCCGAACAAACTTTTTTTCGTCTTCCTAAAGTTTGCGCTGTTGGTTTGATTAACCATGTGGCCCAATGTAGTTGATTACTCTATAAAAAGTTTAAAACATATCATTCCCAAACAATAAAATCTCCAAATATGCAGTTTTCAAATAATTGCAATCATAAAATAAAATAACTCAACATAAAATAAGCATATCCTAATTAAATACAATTGTAGTTATCTTTTTATTGATCAACCGTAATGAAACATTGAAATATTTATGAAATGACATCACTTATTTCTAATTAAAAAGAATAGACTCCTGATTTCAAAGTTGAGTCAAGCAACACATACATAAATATATGTTAATAAGCTACTATCTGCATATACGCTAGCATATATTGTGCTTTGCAAGAGCCAATAGGAGACGTGCAAGATAACATTGGGAATTCTAAATGTACATCTTCTTTCCTTTTTGAGCTGAGAACAACTCAAAAAGTAAGATTCCGAGTGCTGCACCGTTTTTTTTTTAAAAGGCAGGAGATTGGGGATGAATTACTTGCAATTTATACAAAGAAAATTTATTAAAGATTTTTTTGAAAATCCCATTATTAAAACCTTAAAGGTAAGGTATGATTGTTGCTGAGTGTAAATGAATACGGTTTAGCTTTCAGAAAGAAAAAAAAATAGAACGCATGCAAGAATTGATTTGTTAGAAAATTACTAACAAGCTAATAAGAATGTTATCTCAGGGAAAAATCTTCCTAAAGATCATAAAAATATTTTTTTGACCCAAAAACAAAATGAGAAAAATGATCAAAAGAAATTTCACTAAAGAGATAAAAATATATATATATCTCTACTATAAATATATATAAATATTTAAGTAAATAATTAAAAATCTGTGAGAACGCTGCAGAAAGCTCTTCACTCAACAATATCATCTAGACTCTTAAGTCTTCAGATTCTAGCGGACTTTATTGTCCCCTTCTTTACCCTGTGCTTAGGGTTGGTTGTGATTGAGATTACAGATCTTGTCTTTGTGAGAAACATTGTCCCTCTCGTCATTCCGTTATCATGTTTTTATAATCTATGCATAACCCTCTGTTTAATTGTTGTTTCTTTTGTAATGGGTGGTGTCCCCAAACTTTGTTCTTCATATACTCTATTTTGAGTTTATGAAATAAAACCTTTGACAAAAAAAAGAAACTCATAAGATCCTTTACATAACTTAGCACAGAATAGTAAAATGTAAATGTAAATGCGAGTTTTGTCCACCAAACCACACATGTCTAAAATCTACAACGACCTATATAATATCTACTAGATATATATATATATATATATATATGTGGACGTCCGATACGAAACCGCTTGTTTTAGGCTGTTTTGAAAGATCCAAATCGAATGTAGTCCTCGAAAGAAAAAGTTGAAGAATGGGATCCATTAATTTATATGGTCAAAGATACAACAAACGAAAAGACGTGGTGTTCGTCTTCTTCTGATCAATTTCCCAATACTCCTTTTCTTTTAACTTGTTTATAATGCTTTCTTTTGCATTATTGTCTATTAATGCTTTTCTCCGCATTATTGTGTGGTAATGCTTTGGGCGGTTCTCATTTTAATACATACCGTTCTTAAAAAACTAATGTATACGGGCACTGTATTTTATTAAAATACTTTCTCTTTATCACAACCTATACGATGATCATAATTTTTAATGTTCCTTTTAGAAAGAAGTTTATGAACATCTATTTAGTGGAGTTATGTTATTTATTTTTCTAAAATATCATTCGAAAATGAAAATGGTTTTGCTCGTAGTTCAAAAAAAGAAAATGGTTTTGCTCGTAGTTCACTGGATTTTGTTAAGATCCCATTATAAATTTATACTCCTATATGCATGGTTACGTACTTACGTTAAAACATACCTCCATTATCTTTACTCCTAAGCATTTCAATATTTCTCATCTCATTATTAATTAGTATCTTTATTTTCTAAATTATTTATATGCTAAAATTGCCTAAAGTAATACCTATATGGGTATCACGAATATATATATTTGGAGGGGCATGTTGTAGTGCGTTTATATTAGGGAGGTATCAAAATGTAAAACTCTCTGATAGCGCTTTCGAGTGCGATTAGAACGATTAGCCTTTTATTCAACCTTTTCTTTATTAGCCTTTTCTTTAGATATGTATTTTTTAAAGATATTAATCTACAATTATTGATCCTAATCTTCTTAGTTTGTGTTGAAACATAAATGAATACATACACCACCTTCTTTTTCCTTCCTCTCTGGTGTAATCAGCGTTTCTGATTTCTTGTCTGGTTGTCCACTTGTTTCACATCCGTGCAAATATAAAGAATTTGAAAGATGATATAATATACTAGTTCACATATTTCCATTTTAGTTTGAGTTGAAAACTTAAGTACGTTAACATAGGGTCAAAAACTAATAACTTCACTATGTGTATGTAATGTTGCATTGGATGGTATGTTTGTCCAATAATAGGATTCAGTCGATGGTAACCGATAAGATCTATCATCGAAAAATGCAAGTCAGAAATATCACATATAATGATATTATAAGATACCTAAGTAATATATATAAGACTAAGTGGAGAGAGCCAGAAACTTGGCTTTGAGAGTTTCAGATGCTAGATTTGCAGCTATACAGATAAGGACTTATGAGATGGTCTGTGAGTTTAGTCAAGACCTTTTTTTATGTAAGGAGAAACCTCTAGAAGACTGATCTGCCATATTCATAGTTATCTATGTTCATAAATTCGTCGAGTAAAAACCCTCTAGAAACTAGTTTTTTCCACTAGGATCGAGTTTCCTAAATGTAAAATGAAGCTACTTATTACAATAAAAAAAAGGAAGAGGGGTTAGTTTAAATAAAGTTAGTAACTAAAATCCGGTAAAAAGAAAATTTACCAAGTAGATGGATGAGGGAAAACGAAGATGTGAGAGATATGGCGAACATATCTAAGTGAAGTAGTTGGTGATTGGTCGAAACATTACTTTGGAATATGTCTGTCAATATATAAATGGTGTAAGTCGACTCAGACATCAGTCTTATCACACCACTTGCAGCTTTATTTCTTCGGTGCGTTCTTCATCAGATGTAATTAACCTCCCTGCTTCTTTCCCCCCTTATCTATAACCACCACGCATTATCGTTTTTGATATATGCTGTAATAAATAGTGTTAATCATGACACAAGAGATTCCTTATAGATTTATGTTGCAGCACTAATCATGATAAAAGCTTGATTGAGATTTTTTAAAGATATATAGATTCCAATTGGTTTATTCGTGCTGAATGGTTATATACATTCTGATAAAACATAATCTACAAGGAAATGGGTAATGTGTAAAGTAATTTATGCTTATCTTTTTTTTTGATCAAACAACAGCTTTATAAATCATTAGTCTCCATAACTGGAGAAATTGTTTACATCAAGCAACAACAAGGCCAAACCGGCTAAAACATCTGCTTCCATAGCAAAGCAGAGCAATGAGATACAACACCATAAGATAGGAGCAAACACAACACATAAACAACACCTAATGTCGTTGAGCAGTCCTCGAAACTCAACGCCAATTGTGCTAAGAAGTGAAATGAGGCTGTGGGAATTAGAGAGCACGGATAATGGTCTAACACCCGGGATTGAGACCGCAACAAAAGCAGACTTAACAATCATAATTTCGGCATCACAAGCAAAGGCGACAAAGCACCAAATTGATGAGCCTTTTAACAGAACAAACATGGAAGCATATACAATCTTGTGCACACTACTCCCTGCAACACAGCCACTCAAGTCGAATGGAACATATGGGAGACAATCATACTTCACAAGGGATAAACAATCCAGAAACACTAAGCTGCATACTGCAGAGAGTCGCACAGAGGCGAGCATATTGTAACAAAGCACCATAGAACACCCAAGGGACAACATCGAAACAAGCAAGATAGAGACATAAAGTTTCAAATCTATAACCTGCAGGAATGTATCCAGTAGAAAGATTAATGGGTCCAGTGATGGCGGTGAACGAGATCCAGTGGTGGCAGACTTGGTGAAAGTGAGAGAAGGGTGAGCTTCTGGATATGAGGTGATGAAGAAAGATCTGCATACTGGAGTAAGAGGTCGTATGAACACGACAAGAAAAATCATCAAACCAAAATCTTTTAAGAGAAGAATCTCTTTGAAGATCTGGTTGCTCAGATCTATTTCTCTGAAAATTTGAATTTTTAGATCCAGATCTGAAATAGTGAAAGTTAAGACAAGGAAGCAAACTGAGGTGGAAGAGATAGGAGATGCTAAAGATAGCTCTGGTGGGTCTGGGTCTGGGTCTGGCGGTTCTGGTGGGGAGACGCCGGTGACGGCGAAGGCCATTGATGAAAGAACGATAAGCTCCTCTCTCTCTCTCTCTCTCTCTCTCTACTCTTCTCAAATTTAACGACTTTAATTTTTTAGTAATTTATGCTTATCTAAATGCTAATAAAGATTTGGCTTTGCTTTATTGTCTTATTGATACAATGATACCTGTGGAATCAACAAAATTAAAGGAGGTGCAAGCAAGTCTTGATCTTAGAACTATAAAGCAGCCAATAGGCATCACTTATAAATGCATTGTGACAAAAAGTAAAAGATGAAGGCATTATATAACAGGAGACGTGCAGATCATTTCCAAACACATACCAAAAAGAAGTTTCAACAATCCTAACCTGTCTTCTTCCTGTTGTTACTGAATCATTAGGTTGAAAAAGATAGATACGGAGATATGTATACGTATCAGCCACATTTGATAAAAGTAATTAGGGAAGAAACTCTAATAATTAGAAATTAAATTTCCTTTTTTTTTCTTTGTAGCTTTCCCCTTTGCGATTACAGCAAGAACCGCAACATGCTGATTTTCTTGCTTACGCTTGGGACATTGGAGACTTCCAGTATACATGCAAAGACATATTCATATTCATCTGCAAAGACATACCGCATGATAATTTTTTTTAAGGGGCTTGGCCTTTGAGTTTGCTGCAGTCTAGAAATGAGAAGTTTTATTTTACAAAAAACCACGTGGAAAACATAAGTAGGAAAATACCAAACATGGAGAGGTAGAGATACTCTTTTTGTTTTCGTCCATCTCAGCTTTGTTCCCCAATAAAATCTTATTGTCATTGACAGAAGCGTTCTTCTCAGTGTCGTGGATCAAATTCATGATGTCTTTTCATAATAAAACGAAAACATAGACAATAATGATACGTAGTTAGTAGGTCATAATTTCTAACTAATTATAACATAAGCAATAAAATTAACCATAGTAAGACAAAAGCATAGATAAGAATGAATCCTAATGGAAATAAGTAAAAAAAAAAAAGAGTACTAGTTGCCTATCAGAGACGTAAATGATAGATAAAACTTCTACTAAGACCAAACCGTGAAGGAGAGCAGTACATATCAACAAGTAGCAATCTCTTCCAAGAACTACAAGCATACCAAAAGTATGGTGGCCTAGTGACTAGTGCATGATGTTGGCTCAATTTTGCTCTAGGTTCAACCCTTTTTAGGGATTAGGATATACATATGTTTTACGTAGGTATTAGCATCCGCGCCTAGTCCTAGTCCCTATGTACCATGTATGGACCTCCGCGTCAAACTTCGAAATTATATAAATAGATAAAAACCTTAAGCATCAACAAAATTAAAGAAAACTAATCGATCCAAGAAAGTATATAAATACTTGATTACCCAAAAAAGAAAAGTATATAAATACTAGAATTTGTCGAAACAATAGTGGTAGTGTAGCAACTTATTTTGGACAAAAAAAAAAGTGTAGCAACTTATTTCCTCTTTACGGCCCATTAGTGCATCATAACATGCCTCAAGACCCGATATAAAAATATCAAGGCCCATAAAAGAAAAGTCTTAACAAAGGGACACGTGTACCGTCGTGATTTTTGTCAACACGCATCAATCACCGTTGATTCTACTTTTCTATTTTAAAGACGTCATCATCGTCTTCTCAAATTAGCTTCTCCTCTTTGTCGTCTTCCTCCTCACACGCAAATCTCTTGTCCTTGATCTCTTCTGGTTTCCATGATCCGAGTTTAGCGTCTCAACGGTATTTATCAGCCTGTTCGGAGAATCATCATCCTTCTCTCTCTCTCTCACTTTTTGGTGTTTTCTTTTTCCGCATCAAAAGTTTCTCTCAGCGTCTTTCTGAAATTCGAAATTAGAGAATTAGGGGTTTTTCGATTGGTAAAAGGGTTACGAAGAGCATAAGATAAGAATGCCTTCGGTGCCCACAAAGCTTCTCCTTTTACTCCTTTTGGTTCCTTCGTTGACTCCCTATCATTCTGGTTTGTCTTCCCATCGTCTTAAACCTCTCCAAAAATCTGATTGGCGTGGTAATCTTAGTTAACATCTTCCTCCTCTCTGCTCTCTCTTTTACATCTTCTTCGAAACTCATTGAAAGACTCAAACTTTGCTTGAGCTTTGGTGTTTGTTCGTTTTTTTTTACTTTTTGCGGTGTTTGATTCGCAGTCCCACGAAGGTATGAAGCTTTAACGCATTTGGAATTGGCTAAGTTTAGTGTCTTTTAGCTCAAAGATGATAACTTTGTAACTTGTTTGTGGCAGTTACTACTACTACTAGGACTTGACTATCTCCTGCTATATTTGGTTGGATATGAGCTCTGTTTCTGGTAAAGGTGCAGACTTTGAGATTTCGGTTTCGAGTCCCACGCAATGCTCTGGTGGCGTTAAGCATTTAACGCATGCTGGATCTGAAGAATCTCTGGAACCTGATGGAGATGAAACTGGTTATATAAACCAAACTTTGAATGACGAGTCAGATACGAAGAATGAGCTAGAATCAGCTATTGAGGATCTCGGCGATTCCACTTTAGGTTATGTACCTTCTTCCAAGTCTTCAGATGATGAAGACAAGGATGAGAACCTTACTACTGTCACTGTAAGTCAGCTTGTGTTAACTCGAGATATTGACTGTTTTATAAGAGTCTATTGTCTCTGGTCTTTGGACTTTTTTCCTTGTTTGTGTGCAAGACTATACGTATAAGCTGGTCTTTCATTCTGTTCTATTACAAGTTGTGTACCATCTCTTGGAGCTTCAAGAGTAACAGTAGTTAATTGTTTTGCCTAGGCTCGTTGTACATTGATATTTCCCATTTGTGTGTTACTAATTAGCAGTTCTGTAGTATGTTCTTGAAATAAACTGAAAGCAATGTCAACAAGGATCTATATATACTTTAAATAAGAGTTAAAGAGTCCTTGGAATTGGCTGTGCATTTTCTGTTTGTCTCTCATTCTCACCTGTTTGTTTAAATTTCAACAGGCACCAGTTGTTCTCATCCCTGCAATAAAAGGCAGCCGGGAGAAGCATGGCTTGACACTGAGGAAGACTAGTGTTTCATGGGCGGATGACGTGTATGATCCTCCTCCCTCCATAGCCTCGCACACAAGAAACAAGAAGCAGCAGCAGAAGTCAAAGAGCAAAGACAGCCACAAGAAGACCGGAAAGAAAGGACAGAAGGGCAAAGACAGCTCTTCCTCTCGTAGTGGCAAGGACAAGAAGCAAGCTTCTCGCAAACACAGTCGTGAGAAATTTGATTGGGTTACTCAGATGCCTATTGTTGCAGCATCTTCTTGAATGGTAATATGGCATCGACTGCTAAGAATGCACATCTATGAGATGTGCTCCCTCTTTGTCTAATAAATAATCATCACTTTTTATGTGTAATGGTTGATTTAAACAACAGCTTTTCTTATGTGTAATGGTTGATTTAAACACTACTGTGAGGTTTTGTTGAAGTTTGTTTCTTTTGTTTCTTTTTGGAATCAGTTTCACTTTTGTGAAGAACTCAATGGAGCTTTGTTATTTGAAATGATCTTGTCTTATTTGAAGCAAACTTAGTTTATTAAAACTGAGATGATAACACAACATCACATGAATCTCTGCCTCTTGGTCTAGGTATCAAGAGGTATACTCAGCGTTGATCTTGACATAGTCATAGCTAAGATCACACCCCCACGCCTTTCCTGTGGCTGCACCTTCACCTACGGATAAATCTATTGTAACAGTTCCATGAACCTCGCCAGCTTTCTCTAGGTAGTTACTGGCTCCATCCCTGTGTGTATACACATCTGTGTAAGAACATGATTTAACTTCATTTTGCCATTGAGACAAGATCAGTCGTAAGATAAGAAACCTGTCAAAAGGAAGAGGTTGACCACTCTCCATGAGTGAAAACTCGCCGAGTGATATCTTAAGCTTATCCATCTGGAAAGAAACCCCTGCGTAGCCAGCAGCTGCAGCTATGCGCCCCCAGTTCGGATCTCTTCCATAAACAGCTGCCTGTCACAACCAGCAATGACAGACGTTAGAAATAAGAAGAATGATTACTTTAACCATTCATGTATCTCTTACTTTAACCAGTGAAGAGGAAGCCACCGAGCGTGCAATTTTCGCTGCTTCTGCTTCAGTTTCTGTTCCTTTTACTGTTACCTGGTGAGTTAGCGTTCATCGATACGTTTAGGCCTGTTTACAATCAGAGAGTTGGAAGAAAACGTTTGTGAACCTCAATGAGACATGTTGCGCCTTCCCCATCCCAGGCTATTGATTTGGCAAGTCCTTGCATCACCTATTAATTTTAGAGTTTACATGTTAACGTCCAGCTTATGAACCACTGTTTGAAAAATAGCAAGAACATACATACCGCATCAAGGCAAGCCTGAAGTTGTACAGCTTCCTTACAGTTCAATGACGATATAAAAGGTGATCCAGATAGGCCACTGGCCAAAGCAATGACTGTGTCGTTAGTACTCGTGTCCCCATCTACCTATAAGACCATGCTTTTTCATTAATCAGAGCCTGAAGACTTAAAAATAATCAATGTTTGAAATTGTGTAGCTTACAGTGATCTGGTTAAAACTTCGGTTTACTGCAACCTTTACCATCTTTCTCCAGATATCACTTTCAACTAGAGCGTCTGTTGTGATGACCTGAACAACATAAATGTATATGTCTTAAGGATATGCGGCAAGAAGAAAGGAGAAGATAAAGAACGTACACCTAGCATAGTTGCCATATTTGGATGGATCATCCCTGAGCCTTTTGCCATACCCCCAACTCGGATTGTAGTTCCTCCGACCTGAGCAGTTTCACATCATTGTAAGATTATAAAACTGTGTAAGGAAGAAACAGAACTGTGTTTCTTATACTTACCTGTGATTCAACGGCCACACTCTTGCTTACAAGATCCGTTGTTGTGATTGCTATAGCAGCAGAATCGGCCCTGTTTACAAAAATTTTTATGGTTTAGAGGATATTTAAAGTGAGATTGTAACTTAAGAGCTGAAAGAGACGAAAAGATTACTGTTCAACAGAGTTTGACATCGAGTTGACTAGTGTTGGAAGTGCTTCGAGAAGCTCTTTCTACAAAACATCACTCAGATCGTAGAGGTGAGAAACACAAGTGATGGCAAAGTTACTGAGAAATGTGTTGTACCTTTTTAATCCTATGACCAATAACTCCAGTTGACTCGATTAATACTTCCTCTGGATTCACTTTAAGTAGCTGCAACAATGAAGAACAACGGGAAAATGTTGAAAGATATGAAGGTTTTGAGGTAGACACCTGGATCAAATGATATCAAGACGTACCGTGGCGAGAGAACCAACACAATCTAACATATCTTGGTAACCAGCATCACCCTGGAACAGCAATGATCTTAAACCTTTACACATATAACTATAATGAGTGATGCATAACTAAAAACCATATTAACATTCAGCCTATTTCAACTTGCAAACAACATAGCTCGAGAATACTTACCGTAGCTGCATTAGCCTGACCGGCATTAATCAACACTGCACGCGCCTGAAAGATTACAAAACTTACTGATTCAAATCTCAGAAAGGTGAGTTCGAAATCCAAATGATGAAGTAGAGATTTACCGTATTTGAAGTCTCAAGAACTTTTTTACAGTAAACTACAGGAGCAGCAGCCACCACATTCATAGTAAACACTCCTGAAACCAAATCATCAATGAAGAAAATCAGAAACCTTTTTTTCCCACTGAATACATATCAAAGAACCACCAAAAAAGAAAAGAACCTGCAGCTACAGCGTCAACATCACAGGTGACAAGAGCAAGATCAAGCTTCTTCCCTGAAGCTCGTAATCTAGCATACATACCAGCAGCTTTAAACCCTTTCGCAGCTGTCACTCCACCTGCTATCTAAACAACAACAACAAGATTCTAATTTTCAAGCTTTGAAGCAAAGTCAATAGCCAAAAAACAATGCAAAGTTTTAAAAACCTGTTTCCATGAGCCTTGAGGTAGAGAAATTGGAGCCGCTGGTATGTTACCAGACGCCTCTTCCATTGCGAACACTCTTAACTCTCTCCGTGAACACGCCACAAAACTCTGATAAATAGAAAAAATAGTAAAGTTTCAAACTTTACTTCTTAATCGGTGACCAATGACGCGCATAAAGTAAAGGGCTTCCTAATGAGAGAAAGAGAACCTTAGGCGCGAAGAAATGTGGAAGCTTGAGGGAGGAGAAGTGAGCATGATAACAAGAATGCATCTTTCTTGACAACACTCGCCAAACTCGAGTTCACGAAGCTTGCAGATTTTGATTGGTTATCGTTTTTGTACTTTGTGTCTGAAAAAAAATCAACTCCTTAAACCCTAGAGACCAAAGCCTGTTTTGTCTGATTGTACAGTGAAGAGAGAGAGATAATGGTTTTGATTATGGTTTAAAGTTTAAAACTTTTCCGGTTTAGTCAACATTCTGCATCATATGATTGTTTTCAAACACACAAGTTAAGTTCTGAAATGAATTTGCCTTTGCTTCAAATGGAAATAGACAAATGTTCTTCTGAAGAATCTACTTTTCCATTTGGTACAAAGAAAAATAATGCAAAAAGTGTTTGGCTTTTTTGTGTGTTCATTTACACCACCCAATGGTTTTGTTGGTAGTGAAACCGGATCCAGAGGAAGAAGACTGAGGCTGCTCTTGATGAATTGGCCGTCTTGGTTCTCTAGGTTTAGCAGGATCAACAAAGATCACCCATCCGTCTAAGAACTTTGCATTCATTCCTTCCTTAGCCTTCTCTGCATCTTGTATTGTTGCATATGTTACAAAACCAAAACCTTTTGATCTTCCTGTATCCCTGTCTGTAATCACTCTAGCTGCAAATATGGGGAAAAGAAATGTAGCTGAGTGATTTGAATATGATGTATATATTGTTAGATCAGGAAGGATGGAAAGAGAGAGAGTGGCGTTACCATCAACAAGCTCGCCAAAAGGAGCAAACGCATCTTGAAGCTTTTCATTGGTTGTGAGTCTGGAGAGACCTATTCAATGCACACAAAAAGATACAAAGAGTTTCATTTCATATAATGAAGTCTATAGCCATTCAGACAAATAAAAAGGCAGTCTCTTAAGAGAAAGACACAATTCAGAGACAGCTCAGAGACAGCTCAGAGAAACATAGTAAACTTTCATGTTGATTCACCAGACACAAGTTGGATACTTGATTTTGATTGATGGATCATTTCCCAAAATATCACAAACACAAGCAAATGCATATTTATCTGTAACAGAACATGAAAAAGATCACTCAACCTTGCTTATCTGAACTATAGCAAAACCAATTCTTTTCTTCAGACTCTGTTTCTAAAGCTGAACTTTTTATGTTGGGTAAATAAATGAATGAGAATACACAGAAAGAAATATACCGCTGACGAAGAGCTTGGGAGATGAAAGAGTTGAACAGTGACGAGCCCATGAGGATGGTGAAGACGAGAGGCTGTTGCTGGATCCGGCAATGATGCGGCGAAAAGAGGAAAAGAACGCCATTTGTTGTTACAAAGTGAGAGAGAAGAAATCAGACTGAGAAGACACACCAGTTCAGGCAGAGTATTAGTTTTAGGGCTTATTTGAAGGGTTTTACTTATTAATCGAATGAAAGCCCATATCAGAACATAGGAAGCCCAATTGTTATCATCCACAACGTTGTCGTTTCTCTGTGAAGTGACATGCCTTTGTTCAACATTTGTTTGGTTTTTAATGCTAGTAACAGTTACATCATAATATAATCCATAATTCTATTATATATGATGATCAACTATCTAAAACATATGTGATTTTGATGAATAATTTTATAGATAATGATTATTTTTTTCCGAAACACTTGGATCGGTAAACGGTTTTACATATGATATTTCAATGGACATATTCTCTGCGACAGATAATCATAACAAACAACTTTGTATGCAGTACTTTTGAAACTTCCGATAAATTACAGATTCTATAATCTGAAAAAAATTACATTCTATGATTTGAACCTTATTCCACTGTTCAACATTTGTTAATCAATCGTTTCACTTTCGATATCATCTGAAGACGTTTTGCTTACCAGAGAATCTTGTTGTGTCGCTGATTTATGAAGGAAGTTGAAGCCGAGTAATTTAGACCCGATATATATATATATATATATTATCACCAATGTTGAATAGACCCACCATTCTCATGGAGTAAGTTATGTGCAACTTCCCTTTATAACCTTATATTCTCTCTGTTATTCATTTTATTTATTGTTTTAGGTTTTTACAAACATATTAAAAAAACATTTATTTTTATTTATTTTTAAATTAAAAATACAATTACGTATACAGTTAACCATCTTTCAATCAATAAAAAAAATTAAAAAAATATATAAAATTAATAACTTCTGCATCAAAATTATAAAACAACACTTGTTTTGAAAAGAAAAAAAAAATTCTTCAGCAACATATAAATTGAAACAAAGAGAATATTTTTTCCCCTGGAAAGCTGGCTATCAAATTAAGACCAAAAAAATGAAAAATGTTTACAAGCCCATGAAGCTTAAGTGTAAAACCCAATAGTGATTTATAACCTTATATTGATGTATTTGGTGAAATAATAATTATTGATATATTATTTACAGTTAAATTCATTCGGTGAAATAATAATGGGAAAATTCCATATAAATAGCCCAACTAAATTCTATTAAACTTTTTAATACCCAAACTTTTTCACTACCCAGTTTAAAATCTCAACTAATTATTCTGCCCACTTTAATACATCAACTTTTATAACTGTATTTATTTTAATACTCAAACTTTGTGTATTTTAATTAACAATACTAATAAATTTCCAATGAAATTTTAAAAATGTCTAAACTTCAAAAAAAAAAATTAATTTTATTATATGTTTGAGTAACAAAATTAAATAAATTTTTTATAATCTTTAGTTTTGTAATAAGTTTTTTTAAGTTTTATATATTGAATTTAGTTTGTTTTTTTGAAATAAAAAGTAAATTATTTTTTTTCCTTCAAAAACTTTTTTTTTAAACATTAAATTTTCTACAGAGTTTGTTTACCTTATTTCTTAAATCTTCAAATAAACTTAGAAAATTTAAATATTTTTTCTTAGATTTTGGAGATTTTTTAAAATTTCGTTTGAAATTTATTAGTATTGTTAATTAAAATAAACAAAGTTTGAGTATTAAAATAGATACAGTTATAAAAGTTGGTGTATTAAAATTGGCAGAATAATTAGTTGAGGTATTAAACTGGGTAGTGAAAAAGTTTGGGTATTAAAAAGCTTAATAGAATTTAGTTGGTGTATTTATATGGAATTTTCCCAATAATAATTATTGATATATTATTTACAGATATCTTTATACATTTAAATTTCCAATATTATTTTGTTTTCACACAATAATTTTCTGATTACAGTATTATCAATCAACAAATATGCGGTAATAACTTTACCAAAACAAAAATATGCGGTAATAAAAGCTGAATGTATGGAGGATACATTTTTTATTTTTAGATTTAGTTATGGAAGAGAATCGATGAGTTTGGTACTGAAATCCCAAAGCTTATCGGCGAGAGAAATGTCGGTGGCGAAGTCGCTTGGAGTGGTGACGTTACAGTCGGCGAAGTACTTCCCGGTGACGCCTTTTAAATCAGGATGTAGTGCCACGTAGCATGTCGTTGCTGCTCCCTAACCATTGCCGCCAAAATAATAACAGAATTTTAGTTTCAATAAATAAATATATATTGGATTAGTATCTGAGAGAGAGAATTTAATTCACCTGAGGTATGTTTTTCCACAAGAAGAAACTCATAGCCTTGAAGACCGCTGAATAACGAAAAAATGTCGATTTTGATAAGAATCTCTAACGAATATGTTGGAAAATATGAATAGATAACCGGTACGTACACATTCCTAAACCGGAGTGACGAAAGAGATTAGTGGTGACAAGTCCTGGGTGTACCGAGTTTATTGTGATGTTCACACCTTCTTCCTACACCCCATCATGTTATCATGTTATGATATATTGATATTGCAATATTTTTGTTTGCTTATTTAACATTGAAATCTATTTACCTGTAGTTTACGAGAGAGTGCATTGGAGTGCAATAAGTTTGCCAGTTTTGACTGTCCATAAGCTTTTTTATCCGAATATCTAAATAAGTTTTTACATTGACAGTAAATTTAAGTTATAATCATCTCATTTCAGAGTAGTAAAACGTACGTACCGATCAGGGTCGTTGATGCCATCGAACATGATGCCTTCGGTGTAAGTATAAGTATGAGCGATAGATGACAGATTCACAATCCTTCCTTCGATTCCACTTTCTTTGGAGCTACTCTTCATTTTGTCCAGAAGCAGATTAGTCAATAGAAAATGACCTGGATTTTATTTTAATATACATAATAGATTAATGTCAAAATGGTTATTTATCGCCTATGCATACTCTATCATGTTTCTTTAAGAACTTCATGTGCTAACATGATGTTTTGATAGTTAAATTCTACTTTTTGGAGATTTGTTTATCTAAATCATGTGTGACCAACTTCTGACTCAAGTAAGTACATATAAATTTGCTAAGATAGTGGCATAAATGATGAGGTTTTCCTGATATAGCACCTTTTTCAGAAATTCATGTATTTCTATATAGCTTTTTGGTGCTATAATTTACCAATATATTTAACTAATTAATATACGTATATACATACATGATTTATCATTTGTGGAATAATATGTTTTTTCGGATATGTATTTCAATATTGGAAATAAAGAAAATCAAGTCTTACCAATGTGGTTTGTTGCGAATTGTGATTCAACTCCATCTTCAGTGAGCTGGAAAGGACAAAACATAACACCTGCATTGTTTCTAACATTTCATAGACAAACACAAAGTTAAACATGACATCAATATCTTATTCACTGCATAAGAAGGACAAATTTTTTTTTACATACATGAGTATATTGAGAGGGAAATTAAGGGCAAGAAACTGATGTACAAAGGATCTGACGGATTTGATGGAAGAGAGATCAAGCTGAAGACAGTCGATGCGTGCATTAGGGTACATCTCAAGAATCATCTCTTTAGATTCATTAGCAGCTTTTGTGTTTCTTGCGGCGATAATGACATGAGCTCCTCTCATTCCCAACACTCTTGCTGCTTCCAACCCAATCCCACTTGTTCCACCTTAATTTTATTGTTTCATTTTCATATTTTTTATAGCAGTTAAGTATATTGCCGGCGCAAAATATAATGGTACAAAACTAGAAATGAGTCTACAAAATGAGTCTTATACATGCATAAAAGTGTCTGAATCAGTTGTAAGTAAATTTATACAAAATGTTTTTTCTTTTTACTCAAAAGAAAAAAAAAATCTGTGTCGCTTTATTGTTGTACTTTGACTTTTAGACTTGAATTCATTTTTTAAACAGCATGATTTTCACAGTAAAACTAAAAACATTAGAAAGCAAGAAAAAAATTCAAATCCAGTCCGGGTTATATTTTTCATGCTTTTAATATAAAGCAAGATTAAAAAAGTAGAACAATAAGCAACATGTGACAAAAGAATGATTTTGATGGTTTAGTATATGAGTATGCAAGCTTCAAATTTCATTGCAAGAAATCCTCCAAAGCAAGCTCAGCCATTACATTAAATATTAGCTTTTGTGTAACCTTAAATATTAGCTAGAAATTAGAATACCGATATATATATATATAGGCTTCTGATTCTATTTTAGTCTTAAGTCAAGGACAAGATACCAGATTACTAGTAATATTCACGATAAAAGGGAATAAAATTTTGGTGTTTGTATATCCTTTAATTTATTTTATTTTTGGAAAAGAAAGAAAGAAAATTATAAAGCTTATATATCTCGAAATGCTAACTTTAGCCTAACCTTTGAAGTTTGAATTTCTCTTCCGTATTAAAGGTGTGATTGGTGTGGAAAGAAGATGAATAGTTTTCTTTTGTGGGAAGTGTTCAACTGAGAAAAAGTCATTTAATAACCAAAAAAAATCCTCTTTGAGGTGGTAAAGGAGGAGTAGATCACAGAGGAATTATCTCTCCTCTTACTACACCAATTACACCCTAAAATTTGAATAAACTTGTGCACAAAAAAAAAATTGAATAAACTTAGTAGTGTTATTATCCTTTGGGCAGAAAAGCATCTCACGTCACCCAAAACGTAAGATTGTTTTCTGTTTGGCAGTAATGAATTTGTTTTGTTATTTCTTTCTAAAAGTATCAGATGGAATAGAAAAAAAAAAAAGAATAACCTGTGATGATGGCAGTGAGATGTTTGGCATCAATGGAGTGGGTGACATCTTCAGCTGTTGAAGCTGATCCAAATCCACTCTTTCCTGCTTTTCCTGTAACCATTCCATATATTTCCATGATATGCCTCAAAACTAATAAACCCTAATTTAAAAAAATGTTACAGATTGAGAAGAAGAACAATGAAAAGAGAGGAGAAAAATGAGCGTTCTACAGATGGATGGTAAAGGAACAAAGACGAGCTTGGTTGGCTCTATAAATAGTCTCACGCGTGAGTTGATAGGAGAGTCAAGAGTTGATGCTGACATGTGGTCGAGGAAGTTTTTAGCGGACAGCAAATCAAATTTAATGTTAAGAGATTTTGTTGAGTAATTAGAAAAGGGACAGACGTTTTCTTAATATATTAAAGACTAACTAAATCTCAAAATTAGTCTACACTCTACAGTATTCATCACATCCACTCCGGTTACAAATTAAGTTTTCCATTAATCTAATATAAAAAAACATTATTGTAACCTTGATAATTTTTTGTACAGCATAATATAACAGACTTTGACGTTTGATGTCTTTAAAAGTTATTGATAGTAGGCTTCGGTCTCATATAATTTATGATCGTTTATTAACAACCTATAATACAATGAATACATAGCTATCTGAAATTTTCTATGCTTAATCGCATCCTTGGATTGTCACTAAGTTTATATTTATTATATTTTTCATTAGGTAATGTTTTAATATTGTGTGTATATCTTATATATTAAAACAGAAGTCATGACTTGACTTCATGTATGACTTGACTTCATGTGTGATTTTCTTAAAAATAGACTATTCCTAGAAAGTCATGTTACATTAACTCTCTAATAATCTTATCATTATTATATCTTATGAAAAATCATATTTATAATAACAAAAATACATTTAACAATTTGGTTTTGGTAAATTACCCCACACCTTTCAACTTAATCACGCAAAATATGTTAATAGATATAAGTTTAGGAATCTTCTATTATTTATAAGGAAATATGTCAATAATAGTTAAATGCATCCACAATATATTAACAAAAATCACAGATTCGTAATATGAAATATTTATATACCCTAACAAAATTTGCACGCTATATATACTAGATAAATTTATTTCGATGTAAATTTTTAAAATTATATTGTTTTAAAAAAGAAATTGTTTAAAAAAATCTTTTTTTAATAATTTTTTATAATATAAATTTATGAAGCTATAAGTTTAGTTTTTAGCAAAAATTTCTTCGAAGTTTATATTATCTTTGCAAATTAAAGTATACTAATATTTAATCAAGCTCTATTTATGTTACTTTATTTAAAAATGAAATACTAATCTAACAAACAATAAAATATAGAAAATTTAAAACAACCTTTTTGATTAAAACACGTATTATATAATATTATTATGTTTAAAAAACATTTACTATACATATAGTAAATATGCGAATACTATAATATATACCAATTTACAAGTGAAAAAAAAAAGTTTATATAACTAACAATAAACAAAAACAAACACATGCGCGGTTGCGCGGGTCAAAATCTAGTATATATTTAAAAGTATTCGTTTTTTACATTTTGAAATAAATATAAACACTATTCACTTAATTATAAATTGTAAAATAAAAATAGTTACATAACATAAAAATTAATAAGTTTTTTATTGAAAATCGAAAACATCATCTAATTTAAATTTTTAACATAACATGTTATATAAAGACGGATACATTTATGTATTTATTTGTCAACTCCATATTCGCCTCATCAACTGCTGTATACGTTGGTAGATACCGATTTGTGATGAGATTGACTAATTTTCAGTAGATTTAAATTTATCATAACATGTTTTATGAAAGATGTTAATGAATCATATGTATATGTTTGATTGTTTGTACCCAATCATATTATCATATTAGAAACATAATAGTATGAAACGTACGTATCATGAATTATGGGATGATAACGAAGTAGAGGCTACGATTGATGAAAGGTTGACATGTAAATCATAAGAAATAATAAAAAAGAATAACCCATCGATCGCAAATGGAAACCAGCACTTTCGGGGTAGGCATTCAGCAGAAGGAAAAAATGAAAAAGAGCATTTGTTTAAGCAAAAAGTCAAAAGCTTAGATGTTTCTTTAATTAGCTAGACAATATTCCAACGTCAAGATATGAAATTCTGACTAAAATTTTTGAGTAATCATTTGGTGTTTAATAATGTGTAATGTCCCTTTTCCTTTGATGCTTCTATGTGTTGCAGGCAAAAAAAACTTTCAGCTTGTTCATACACTAGAGAAATTATTCACGAAATAATGATTCAGAAAGTTGATTAGATTAAGTGGACGCATATGTTTTTCTAAACTATTAATCTTTCTTTCCATCGATTGGATCCAAATGCATTGCCATCTTTCTTTTTTAACTAGTGTGTATATAAAGTTACGGTTTAGGGTCCTGAATTATCGAATTTTTGAACCGGTTTCTTACGGTATAGAGCCATGAGTCCATGACAATATCCCACTTGGCACTTTATTGTCCGGAATTCTGTATGTCGGTTTAGCGTGTGAAGTACTGGTTTTTGTTTCAAAAATGATAATGCTGTTAAAAAAAATGATAATGTTGTCATGTTTTCTTCTTAAAATAAATGTTGACGATAGCATTTAACTTACATACTATACTATAATCTAGTTCTGGATAAATGGAAGAGAACCTTTTAAGTTAAATGTAAAACATACACAGATTAACAAAAGAAAACATACACGTTACACCCAAGTCGAACATGTAAAACATATAAACATTAACAAGAAATGAAAAAATGTTAATACGTAAACATGAAATGAAACATATACACCCAAGATGAACGTAAGTGTGAACTTATCCTTTATTTTAAAACTATAAAAATATGAAATGAGACGTAACTATGAAAATATTAATTTACAAAGAAAAAAGAGTTGAATCCCGTACGTTAAGCAAACTTTAGCGAACCATTCCCTTACGCTTCAGATGTCTCTATAGAGACAACGAATACATGTTTTTCCACCTCTATTGTCTATTTATTTGTCGGACTATATATGAAATGAACTTACGTATCAGAATAACCAGACATAACAAATCAACAATTGATTGAGAAAGAAGACAATAACAAGTTGTGATCTAACTAGAAGATTACACAAGTAAAACAAAAAACTCATTACATTACATGACATTGAAGAAAATCTTCTGATATTATCACCAAAATTCATTACAAGAGCAAAACCCATCTTTAAAATGATGGAAACGGGACCGGTCTCTAACGATCACCACACGATCATAAACACGAGACACAAACTTCGCAAAGTTATGGCAATCAACACAAGTTCTAAGATTCTTGGTCACTCTAATGGTAGTCCCCGGTGGAGTCACAAGAATACCAAATGCAATAGCTAACTTCTCGCTATGATACGTCAACGCACGTCCCTTCTCTTCCTCTGACTCAATATTATGCAATTCCGACGCCGTTTCCGCCACGTAACCAGCAATCTTCAGCTGCTGATTGATCTCCTCTAGCATCTTATAAATCTCTTCCTTCCTCGGATGAGAAACATCGTCCACTATAAACTCATGAACCTTTCCTTGTTCCACCTCGATGGCACTACATCCAGGTTTAGTATGGATTCTTTTCTCCTTCATTAATGAACGAAGCTCAGTCACTTTCTCCCATCTCCCAGCAGAAGAGTACGTGTTGAGTAACAGAACGTAATCTCCAGCTTCTTCGGCTTTGAGTTCGATAAGACGTGAGATCACACGCTCCCCAAGCTCCACATTCCCTTGGACTCTACAAGCACCGAGAAGAGTACGCCAAATAGTGGAGTCTGGCTTCATCTCCATCGATTCTACAAGACTATACGCTTTTTCTAGTAAACGAGCACGTCCCAACAGATCAACCACACATCCATAGTGATGCAAATTCGGCTTCATCTTATTAAACTCACCACTCTTTAGTCTCTCAAAAAACATCATCCCTTCGTCAACCAAACCTGAATGACTACACGCAGATAACAAACCAGTTAATGTCTGCTCCTCTGGAGAGACACCACACTTCAACATCTCTTCAAAAGCTTCAATAGCTTCTCTCCCGAACCCGTTCATTGCTAAACCAGAGATCATAGCCGTCCACGAGACCACGTTCCTCTCACGCATTTCTCCAAAAACCTCGTAAGCCTTGTCCATGTCCCCGCAGCGTGAGTACATTGAGACAAGAGTGTTGCTCAAGTTCAACGCACCACCGAGTCCATTCTCATCTATAAACGCATGAACCTGTTTACCGAAGTCCAACGCGCCTAGGCTCGAGCAAGCTTGTAGAGCACGTAAGCACGTGACACCGTCTGGTTTATTAACAGACCCGTTCTTAATCATATTATCAAAGTGATAAAGAACGTCACGTGTGCGTTTGTTACGGAGGAAACACGACATGAGGACGTTATAAGAAACGGTATCTCTCTCGGGAATTTCGTCGAACACTTTGCAAGCGTCATTACTATTCTCAAAAGTTGAGTAAAAATCCATCAGAGTTGTTAACAAGAGACTATCCGAGAGAAACCCATCTCTAAAAATCTTGCCGTGGATCTGCAAACCGCCGGTTAAGTCACGTGACTTGATGCAGCACTTGAGAGCGAAGGAGGAGGAGAGAGGGTTAGCGGGAGGAAAGGTTTTGCGTCTGAGGGAACTGAAGAGGAGGAAGCCTTGGGAGGGAGTTTCGCTGAGGGAGAAGGCTCTGATCATTGTGTTGCAGTGAGAGAGAGTTGGGTTGGTTCTATGGGAGAAGACGCGGCGGGAGTAGTTGATGTCTCGGGGGACGAGGGAGAGAGCGAGACGGGAGAGGAAGTGGTGGAAAATGTCGGAGCTTTTGATTAAGGATGTGCGGAGTAAGACGGCGTGGATTTGTCGGAGATGGGGTTTTGCGGTGGAAGATGTGATCAGAGAGATCAGGTGGTCTTCGCTGATGCTCATGGACTTCAACATTTCGTGGAAACGAGACTGAAGTCGAAGCCGACAAGTTAAAACACTTATGTCAGAATTTTTTTTTGTCGTACCAACATCACATCTATGGTGGTTATATAACTTATATTCTTTATTATTGTCTCAATATGGTTAGTAGACAAATCAACCCATAGAATATCTTGCAAAAAATTAAGATTAATAGACGAAAATTGTTGAAAATGTCATTACAAATTTATAAGAAAAATAATAAAAAAAGAACTGAAGAATAACCCAATTCGATTAACAATCAGTTCCCTATAAAGCTTGTCCAAATGTAATGAAGCTTAAAAAAAAAAACTATATTGTATGAGCAAATCATGACGCTCACTAGTTCATGAACGCCAAGCAATCAATAATGTGAAAAGAAAAACAGACATGCAATGGGCTTACAATGGTTGAGATCACCAAGATAATCACCACTTTGTGCTCTATCTCTTTGCGACAGAAGACAACGACCATAAGTCTTTGCTTTTTCCTTAATTGTACAACTTTTCATTCACCATTTATCCTGGCACACCTGTGGATTAAGAGAATAGTGTTATTACAACATTGTATCGATATCAAAAAGTTAGATTAGTTCGTGCTTACCCCTAGAGAAAACCTCCACCAGTCCAAGCAGTGTCTGGTTTCCCATTGTGGCCTGCAGATTTCTTATCCCCTGCAGCACTCTGATAATAACCATCATCATCATCTTTAGCATCGTTATCATCCCAACCAGCCCAACCATCATCATCATCATCTTTAGAAGTCGACACCTTTGGTGCTACTTCCTTTTTGACCGTTTTGTTCTCTTCTCCCCAGTCATCCCAAGAGTTCGAGTTACGGTAACTGTTTTGGTGACCACTTAATGAAGATTGTGACACTTTTGGTGCGGCTTCCTTTTTGATAGTGTTGTTCTCTTCTCCCCAGTCATCCCACGAATTCGAGTTACGATCGTTGTTTTGGTAACTTGATGATGATTGTGACCCACCAAGAGATGAGTTAGTTGCTCCTTTGTTCTGGTAGTAACCATTGCCCTCATTCTTATTCTGTTGGTTCCAGGTTGATGATTCTTCCTTAGTGAACTCTTCAACCTTTTGTGAAGCAATTGCCATAACTCCTTTCATGATCCCCCAAGTCCTCTGTCCAATCTCTGTTGTCTTACTCGCAACAACATTAACAGTCTCACTTACGGTGTTATCTAAGCCACCTTCTTTGACCTGCAACGAATAAGGTTTGTCTTTTTTATCTCAATTTGACCTCACTAAACAAGATTTTCGCATGTATTTAGCGCAGGAACTGTACAGAGACGTAGAGAGCATCCAGCATCACGTTTTAACCAGAGTATCAGTTAATCTACTAGAAGATTATGCAGCTAAACAAACCACCAACCTTGTGTTCAAAATGATGTAAAAAATGGTAGCATATGGCAATGAGAAAAGGAGACTACAGATTTGCTACCAAGAAGTGTGTAATGAAATGTATACAGACTTATAGAGCATCCAGTATTACGCTTAATCAGAACTTCAGTTGATCTAAAAAAGAAGATTACGTAGCTACATAACATTGTCGAAAATGAGAGCCTACGGGAATGAGAAAAGGAGACCACAGATCTTCTACCAAGAAGTGTGTCTAGACACTAAATCAAAATGCGGCTTTCAAGGGCTAATGGTTACAACCTAAGCTAACCAAGCACATGATAGAACATAATGATAAAAGAAGTACCTTTGAAGTGAACTCCATGGTTCCTGACTGAACAACATTCGCAGCAGATGCGGCAACAAGAGACAATCTCCCGAATCCCTATATGAGTAAACATAGAGAACTCTCACTTACTCAGATAAAACCAATCCACCCTCAAAAAAAGCATCAAACTTTACCTCAGACACAACAGAGAAAACATCACCACCACCACCACTCTGTTGATTACTCCTCACACTCGGACCAGGACTCGATCCAAACCCAACATACTTCCCTCCCTGCGAAGGAGGAAGCCCCTCAGGCTTAGACTCATTCTCCGCCATCCTCCTCGCGAAAAAACTCTCCTTACTCGCAGCAGACGCCTCAAGCTGCGACCTCGAGTATATATCCTCCGACGACTTCGACTTCGCCGGACCACCACCACCACCACCACCACCTCCATAACCCCTAAAATCACTCGCCGACTGATTCCTCCTCGGAGACTTAAACGCATCATCGTTATCCCAATCATCCCACCCTCCATCACTCCCCTGAATCACAGGGCGGGAACATAAGCTTTTACTAGTATAACTTTTAAATAGATCAGGGGTATATAGGTAATTTCCACATTAATTATTTTAAAGAAGTGGGCCTAAACAGTAAAAAAGAGGTTGGGCCTTCTCACCTGGGCCAGGCCCAACGGAGGCTTCTTCTTATTATTATTAACAACCTCCTTAACAACCACCGGATCTCTCCACTGCCTCCCTTCCGCCAACGCCTGGATCCGATCGCGATACACAGACGCCGCGTTGGAGTTATACTTGGAGACGATCTCCGTCTCCTTGGAGATCCCGTAGAGAGCGAGAAACTTGTTGAGCTTCTCGTTGCCTCCGGATTCCATCTTCTTGATCTGGATCTCGGACCAGGAATCCATCGTGACGGATCTGACGAATGAGATGTGGACGCCGAGGCCTCGGTGCTTCCCGGAGCATTCTAGGCACATGAAGATGCCGTAGGAGATTGAGGCCCATTGTGGATTCTTTTGCGAGCAGTCGACGCAGGTTTTGTTCTCTGGTTGGGATTGGAGCGTGCGGAGTCGCGTCGCTGCCGCCATGTGTGGGGATTGTTAGCTTTGATTTGAGGTTTGACCCGACCCGCGGAGAGATCTGATCCAAGAGGCAGAGAGTCTGA